ACCAACGCGTTGCGAGTGTGAAAGCAACAGCCATGAAGATCACCATTAGAATTCCAGTCACGCCCTCAATTCCTCGAACAAGGTCTAAGTACGTGGGTTTATGGTGACCAAAATCATTTTTCAGGTCCTGATCATAGTCTGATGCAGATGCATTTATAAGCCTTGGGAAATCGCAGGCAAGGTGATTCCCAGCGTGGAGTATGATGCCTATAACAATGGCAGCAGCAATTGTCTACACAACAGATCAGCAACACAAGAAAAGAAGATGGAAATGAGAAGATTTGAAGCATAACTAAGCAATACCACTAACTTTTTAAAATATTGAAGAGTTTTCAATGGCATGAACGAGTTCAAAATTGCCAAATCATAAACAAATAAGAATCTGGAACGATTTATAATTTCTTTCAAACTCATATTCTTGAAGTTATTAGTGCCATAGTGATGTATTTTCATTATGAAGAGATTACAATAGCTTTTGATTAGAATTACTATACAGATATAAGTTGCAGATAAACAATTGGTAAGCCTGATTCTGTGTATCTGGTAACATTGTTCCTATTGAGAAGTGTGCTGAACTTTAGACAACACACTCTTAACAGCTGATATTCTAATCACTGTTAGTGAAATTACAATTACATCACGTCACCTCGCTGTGTTGAAACAATTTAGATGGTCTAACAAACTTTGCAAAATAAATTCACCAATTTAAAACAGTTAAAGATCTTTGTAAAATTGTTACCTTGCTCGATATGAGAGTTTTGACAGAGTAGCCATTTAATTTATACCCAAAAGACAAAGGCTTGAAATACTGAATTTTTTTTTAGTTGAGTAAAACTTTTTAATTTCAAATGGTTAGGACACACGAAGGAGAATAGGAAAGATGCTATTGACCTTTTTAACTGGGAAACTCGGAGGGAGAGCCAATTGGAGAAAGATGTGAAAGGAAAGGGTTGGGTCATTCATGGGGCTCATGTCAATCTGGAAAATGAAGGCAACTATTAATGCAAATTAGATGGGAGGACTTTTAAGTATCAAAACAAGACCTCTAAAGTCAACATCAAAATTAAAGGCAAAGACACCAATCTGAGGACATGAGAGCATCTTTGATTGGGATACAGAGAATGCATGAATTACCTACAAACATTAGTGTATAGCACACAAAAGATGAAAATGTGTATTTTTTTTCTTTCATTTCTGTTGTGTTCAACTTTTTGATTAATCTTCTGCTTTTTATTCTTAGTTAACAAAGCACCTGCATCTTGGCTTATGTTCTTACTCTATCACACAGACAAAAACGTTGAAATAATTCAAAGCTGGGCTTGTCGTTCTCTAGGACACGGAAAGAACAATAATTCAATTAGTGGCCACTTTATGATCACGCTCCTTTACTTTTGTCCACAATTTTATGTACACGTCTCCAACACATGCATACGTGGGAAACCCACACAGATTGCATGTACCAAGTTAATATAGAAGTGATATAGTGAAATCAATCAATCAAGTTTTAATTAAACATTAATTACTGCATTAATGATGTTTCTCATCATATAATCACCCAAAACTATTTTTCCTTTCCTTCCGAGTACCCACCAAAATATTATTTTTTTTCCTTCGAAGTACCCCAAAATTAATCACCACACAAATTATTAAAACCAAAAAGTCAACCTTTGCAGTGTTCAGAAGTATTGTTGGCCCTACGTTTGGTCGTCATCACCAATGCGTGTGGACAAACTAGTGGAAATATTCTGCTCAACTTATTATGTTGACTCCATCATAAAAGTTCACTTAAATGGGCCAATACAATAACTATAAAACAAATCTTAAAGAAAGGAATAAAGGGTCCACTACGAACCCAAAACAAAAAAAAAAAAAGAATAATGATTATTATGATTTAAAAATTTAACCTATTATCCTAAATTAATGATATGATAAATAATTCGATCTTATTAAAAAAACTCAAATAATAATAATATTATTAAATTATATCAACTTGGATAATAATACGCCATTATTTCATATAAAAAATGTTTTAGTCTCAATAGTTAAAATGATAGGGTTGGTGTACCTTGTGAAAGTTGATATTGTCGTCAAAGGGTACAAAACAACCAAACTTGGTGGACCTCAGCCAAGTAATGGTGTTCCTGCACACTGGCAATAATATGAGAGCCATGTTGAATTTCAGAGTTTCAGCTGCACCTTTAGCCGTGGGGAGACAGTAACCCATGACCTGGAAAGCATTTTTCTGTTTGTACTGATAAAATTTCCAAGTAAACAGCCCAGCCATTATCAAAATCCATAAGCTTACAACCCAAAGTCTCTTCCAGTTTTCTTCCAAATAGTAAAGCAATTTTGTGCTCATTCTTCGTATTGGGCTTCTCTTTCTTAAGCCAGCTAGGTTTTGGCTTAGAGCCTGGCTTGTGTAGCTTAGAGCTTGACTGTAGTTAACATACGTGTCCTTCTGTAGCAGTAGTGTTTCCAGCTGCCATAACTGCATTATCATGCAAGAAATATGATGAGAAAGTTGGATCATGCAAATCAATCAACAGAGACAGTTTAATTATTCCTAGTCATTCCAATATTGTCTGGACTCTGGACCTGATGAACACGTGTTTGAGTGGTGAAAACGCGCTTTAAAGGTCTACGCATGGGAACCAACAATGCCTGTCAGGACCGCAACGTGGCCGGATCATAAGTTCAGACGATGGCATGATGATAAAAGGTGCACTCTAGGTCAGGAAACACTCAGTTTTTTTTTAACAAGAATATCCTAACAAATTTCATATATATATTGTAGAGGTTGAAGGCGTAAAGTAGAAATCTTTCCTCTTTTTCTTTCTTGGAAAAGTTACACTGTATGAACATTTATTGGTGTTAATCAACCTGCCCAGCTAAAACGGGGGTTAAAAATAAACTATTTCTTTAATTTTTTCAAGGAATATAAGTAATATATTCAGAGTTTGATGTTTTCTATAAATATTGTTTGGAACGATAAAAATAATATGTTAATGTGACATAAATAAGATGATAGATCAGTATATTAAATTTAAATAATATTACTTAAAAATAATATATTATGGCTACGACATTATTTTTAACTATACAATCCAAATATGCATGCTTAGATAAACTTAACAATTTGGCCGCACATACTAACATATCAATCAGATGAACATGGCCAAATGACATCATAATTTTTATGAACAGCTTTCTAAATAAAGCTGGGACATCACATTTGTGCACTATTTCTCTTACACCACTATGCGCCACAATTACAGTAATTGAATATTTAATAAACTCTGTGGATCTTTTAATTTAAAGATTTATGTTGAGGTGAGGTGGTATACAAAAATGGTATAAGAAAATAGTGTCCGTAACATTGCTATAATTTTTTTAGTGGGATGTGAGAGCATTGTAAAGTCATTCCAAATTCTCAAGACCGCCAGCTCATGGGCTTTTGTGTAAGCGAATTTGCCTGGGTTTTTGGGCAAGGTCAACATCCCAGAATAAGGTATAATTCGGTGAAGGAAACATCACCAAGAAAGCACCGCCCCCGATCCCTATATCATTTGTAAATTATATAGCAATTTATTTAGTTCAAGCCACTAAAGTCTTCATCCATTGTTGGTATTTTTTTCCTTGAAAAATTTCCTCTCCCAACAAGAAAGTAACATCACATGTAAAAGGAAGTAGACGAGCAAGCAGAACAAATAGGAAGCAAGTAATGGAAAGCTGTTCACTATTGATAAAATAAAAGGCTGTTGAACCGCCAGTAATCAGGCCTTTGAACCACCAATAACCAGGTAGTGAGGCAAAATCATTAACGTTCACCCTGATTTGAATCAATTCTTTATGGATTACAGCTTGAGCTTTCTTCTTCGTGAACAGTTGAACAAGAAGATATGGTAAATCCAATTTCTGGAATATGTAGTCAGTGTTTTGTCATCTTACTCAACTCTACTTTAGTTGTAATTTTTTTTAAAGTAATACTATTTGAACCTAATGTATTGATCTAATTTGTTAATCTAATTCGTTATAAACATTAGATTGACAGTGAATCTCATTAAATATTAAAACTTGATGTTAATTTAACAATTACAATAAAATTATATCATTAAATCGACAAATTAAACCTAATTTTTAAATTCTAATAGCGTTTCTCTATTTTTTAATTACTAGCTAGTCAATTTGTGGTTAGTCAAGAACTAATTTGAATGCGATGTGATGTTTTGAGCAGGAAGTCATATTATGAGGAGTTGATTTGAAGTCTTATAAGTCTCTTGAAAATGTCATGTAAGCAATAAGAAAATGATAGCAATTTTTTCTTTTTTCTTTTTTTGCAGAAGTAGAGAGTGCTATTAATTAGTAAGAGAACCAACCTCAATGTAGCCAAGCCTTTCGGGATCCAACTCTTCCATGATCAAAGCTGCATATTCCTCCGCTTGTTCCTTTAATCTTGATAACTTATTTGCAGAAGCACTTAACATTATAATCTATTAATTCAGTCCAAAGAAAAAAAAAAAGTTAAAATCATTTTTTTAGCACAGGTAACAGAAATCAGAAACACATTATATCAGCAAATTGACTTAAAAGCCCCCACCAACTCCACTGAAAATGACTCTTTATAAATTAGGAATCTGGTGTTAATTATCACATCAAAATCTTAATATTTCACACTGAGCCTTATCTCTTGGGATCAGACTTTTCGATCTTTAGCCTTTGATGTTAAACGAAAGATTGGACTTGTGATGAGCAGCAATTGTTATTGTTATTAGTTTGTTACAGTTTGTCTAGATTTATACCGACTATTATCTCAAGTTTAGCGATTAATCACCGTGACTTGAACTAGTGTAGAAGATATCTTCAAAGAAACAAGAATGACTAACATTTAAATAGTGTGAGAAATAATTGAACTTAAAACCTCCGAGTTACCAAAAATTAAATGCAATATTAAGAATTTAAAGATGAAACATGTCTTATTCTGGGATTTCATAATTGGAATATTATAAGATGCGTAAGAATATGGGAAACATAAGACATCAAGAAAACTAAAAGATTATGAAAAAATATATATATATATATATATAATGTGGAGTGGTTGGATTTGGAATTTTTCTGATTTAGGATCACCGAACCACGCCTAACTTTGATTATTTAACCAAAACAGAGTCTGTAGGTGAGGTCTGGCAACAACCACTATGCAGTATCTTACTATAGTATTGAATGTGCATATATATTTCTAATGTCACCGGAAAAAGGTCAGCGGGACATAACATATTAAATATTGCACCGGAATATTAATCATCGGAATCTGACAGACTGTTCTCTTCTCTCACTAAACTGTGATTAATTTTGTGATTTACATAATTTGAGGACGCATTTACGTACCTCTTTAACCTCCTCTTCTGTGATTCGGCCGTCTTCATTCTTATCCACCCTGCACGATTGAAGATGAAGATGCATTAAAATAATTAATGCAATCATTAGCGTCCAAAATACAATTATGACCTTGATTAAAAGCTATCTATATCTATAAAATAAGGTGTAGTTCTTCCTTTATAAAAGCCTGGTCTAAGAAGAAAAGCAATGGTAATTTAAAAAAAATAAACCTACTGTCGTTAATAAACAATGAATTAATAATGCTTACATATCGAAGAAGATCTGGAGTCGAGAATCAAAGCTCTGATCGGTGATCTGGGACCAGTATTCATACAGCTCATCTCTGCTGATCTTGTCGACCTGCAATCTTCGTCTTCTACTCAGAGCGTCAAACAATTCCAACGCAAATTCCTTGGAATCTCTCATTCCTTAACAGAAATCAATAATATTAAACACATTCTAATTAAAACGTAATTGAGAAATGATAATCACGAAATTGAGAACGAGAAACAGAGTTTAATTATGGTTGAAACCTATGCATTGTGCGAAATCAGCGCGATAGAGACAATTGTTCTTAGAAAGTTTGTTGAAATTGTCCTGAACTTCGTTCCACGCATCGACACTGCTAGTTTTACTATTGCTGATGAATTTGAGTCCTTGAAGAGCTTTCCGAGCACCGGAACGAGTTCGATCCAGCTGAGCTCGTTGCCGACGCATTGCTCGAGCAGCCAGAGCAGAGTCCAAACCACTACTTCCTCCAACGACGACGACGTTTTGCAACGCCGAAGACGAAGAAAGCGCACGTGATGCATGTCCATGACTCCACGGAAATCTCCGTAGCTCCGCTTTAAGCTCTTGTGAAAATTGCTTCGCTTTTGCCACTGCTTCGGCTTTTAATTCTTGAGAAAACTGTAGAAGCCGATTCGATGAGCTCCGCCGAATCGTTGGAGAGCGAGATGCTGACGCCGGAGTTTCAGTACCTCCCACAGATACCTCTTGGTCGACGTTGATTAAAGTTGCAGGTTCAACACTACGTAGAATGATAGTGTCATCGTCTTGCAGATCGAGAGTGACCTCGACGAACTCCTCCGCCGTTGCGGCAGAGATGCCGGAATCAGTTCCCGGCGAGGATCCGCCGCTTACATTGGTCTCGCCGTCGGGGACGGTGTCCGACGCCCATCGACGTTCATGCCTCGCAAATCCCCTCAT